TAGGGCTCCCATCTCTGCTTACATTGCCCATCTGATGCCCGTGCTCTATACTTTATCTGTACTGCCCTTAGCATATTAATCACAGTTGTTTTAAATTCCCCATGTAATAATTCCAACATTCCTGCCATGTCTGGTTCTGATGCTTGACCTTCTCTTCAAATTGTGTTTCTTTTTGCATTTTGGTATGCGTTGTCATTTTTTCCTTGATAGCTAGCCATGCTGCACCAGGTGAAAGGAACTGTCGTAAACAGAGCTTTATTAACGTGGCAGTGAAGCGTGGGGGTAGGGGAAGCAGTCAGTAGTCCTGTGGGTAGGTCTGTCTTTTAGTGAGTCTGTGCCTCTGGATTCGGAACTTCACAAGTGTTCCTCAGGCTTTACTTCTCACCCCTCAGCTGGGATAGGATGGCTGCGGTGGGCCGGCGCTGGCTATTTCCCTTCCCGAGGTCGGTGAGGCTCTGATGGTACCTGAGTGGGCGAGGCTCTGGTTAACCAGGTTCCCCTGAGGGCAGGTCTTGTTAAAAACAAGGTGCCCAGAGGCGTTTTGGAATGATTGCCTTTTCCCTCCCACTGCAGAAGCCCAAAGGGGTTTTTCTCCAGTATCTACTCTGGGAATCTGATTGAACTCCTGGGGGTAAATCTCCACAATACTGTTAGGGCTCCCCCGTGACTGGGTCCCTTTGGAATTTTTAATTCTCAGATGTGTCTGCACTGAGACTTCAGCAACCCACTGATTACAGTTCAGATTTTCCTGCCCCGGAACTGCTTGCCACAGTGGTTTCTGCTTGTGAGCCTTGGCTCTCTTAAGCCAAACACTTATTTGCCTGTTTCTCCAGTCTTGGAGGCAGTGGTTTGAACTGCCAACTGCTGTCTGTCTTATAGATCCAGGAAAGTTGGTGACTTAAAGTATCTTCAGTTTTTTCACTTGTTAAGAGAGAGTGGCAGCTTCCAAGTTTCTATCATGAGGAACTAGAAACTGGAAGTGTAGAAGCTTTTTTTCTTCCTTAAATAAAAATGAATGTGCTAACATTTATTTTTAAAATCTCCATTAATAAATTTTAAAATAAATGAACAAATCCATGTAAGTCTACAGTCTATTTAACTGTTTTGTACGCACGTTCATTTCTCGGTTTTGAGAATGTATTACAGTGAATGTGAGATGTTATCAATGTAGGAAACTCGATGAAAGGTACACAGGGACTCTGTTCTCTATGTTACAACCTCTTGACAATCTATAACTATTTAAAAGTAAAGTTTTCTTTTTTAAGGAAATGAAACTAGAAAAAACATTTGCAACACAAGGAGGAAAAAAATTCAGAGCTTTGATGTATAAAAAGCTTACCAATCAATAAAAAAATGCATCCTACTAGAAAAGTAGACAAAAGACATAAATAGGTATTTTGCAAATCATGGGTAGCTTAACTTAGGAAAAGTTGTTCACTCACCGCCAAGAAACAGCAAATGGAAGACATATCACTTTCTATTTATCAGCCTGGTAATGATTAACAATGAACATAATCATACTGAACATTGCCAGGCGTGTAGGTAATTGGGCACTCCATCTACTGCTAGCAGAAGGGGAAGTCTGCACAGTTTCGTAGGAAGCCAATTTGATAACAGGAAAAGTCACAAAGAGTTGCAATTTCGTATACTAGAATTTATTTTAGGAAATAAATAAGAATGTGCACAAATATATCTGTAAAAATGTTCATCAAGCGTTATTTATAGTAAAAAATCTTAAGGAACAATAGTAGGAAAATGATTAAATAAATACAACAGGATATCATCATTATAGACAGTATTAAATGGCTTTAGAAAATGATGCCAAGTATAAAAATTCTAATTAAAAAACAGTATGAAAGGAGATGTACAGTTTGATGTCAATTATATTTCCAAAGATTATACACAAAGAGAAAAAAACATGGAAATAACAAAATCGCAATAATTCAGTATCTCAGGGTAGAGGGATCTTGTATAATTTATTTTCTTCTTTGTAACTGTCTAAGTTTTTCATTTTTTAGTGTTGATCATGTATTACTTTTGTAAACAAAGCAATACGTAAAACAGATTTTAATAAAATCTGTCAACCAAATTTATTAAACTCCCATTATTCTAGGTGATACAGAAACAATACTTTTTTATAGTTTTTAAGTTTTTAATCAAAAGGATGAGCTAATATAAGATGGTAGGAACACCTAAACATGCATGTAATCAAGTAAAGCTATTACACGAGAGCTAAGAGGAAGTCCATGTAAAGAAAGGAATGTGAACTTGGCAGTCAGGCAGATCTGGCCTTAAATCCTACCTTTACTGATTAGAAAAAAAAATGCAGTTTTCTCATCTACGAATGGGGTTAATACTACCTACATCATCTGAGCTCTAATGAGAATTAAATGAAATAAGGAACATAACTGCCTGGTACACAAAATATGTTCAATAACTGTTTCCTTTCCCAAAGAGAGTTGTGGTAATAAAAGAAATATGTCTTGGAAAGTTTGGAAAGAGAAAAGTGAAATCACAGTGAAGAGGTAAGAGGTCAGAGGTTATTCCAGACGCGAGTCAGAGAGGTTGTGGTGGGCGTCATGGGGGAGAAAGAAAGATGCTAACGAAGACTGAAATGGAAGAGAGCTGCCGCCTGAGCTCAGGAAAGCTTGCTCTGATTAGGAGGGGAGCGAGGAGAGGATTCTAGCAGAAAAGGAAATAGGAAGCTTGCTAATTTATTTATTATTGTGCCGCTGGAATTAAGCTTATTGGTGCAGGAACCTGTCTGTCTGATTCACTCTTTTTTTTTTTCCTTCCAGTTTTATTGAGGTATAACTGACATACAGCACTGTGTAAGTTTAAGTGTGATGATTGGACTCACATACATCATGAAATGATTACCACAGTAAGTTTAGTGAACATCCACCATCTCATATAGACACAAAATTAAAGAAATAGAAAAAATTATTTTGTGATGAGAACTCTTAGGATTTACCCTCTTGACAACTTTCATATATAACGTACAGCAGTGTTAATTATATTTATTATGTGTATTTCATCCCTAGTAGTTATTTCTCTCATAGCTGAAAGTTTGTACCTTTTGACCACCTTCATCCAGTTCCCCTCCCCCCACCCCCTGTCTCTGGTAACCACAAATCTGATCTCTTTTTCTATGCGTTTGTTTGTTTGTTTTTGAGGTCTAATTGACCTACAACACTATGGTAGTTCCTGTTACACAACATAGTGATCTGGGTATTTCTATACATTACAAAATGATCACCACCGTAAGTCTAGTTCTAATATGTCACCACACAAAGATATTACATAGTTAGGCCTATATTCTCGACACTGTGCATAGCTATCTGCCTATATGATTAAGTTACTGATTTCTCAAGTTCAAACGATTTTAATAACCATGCATTTTTAATCCTTCCCCACCAAGTTTACTGTTTTTACTTTTATTTTATTTTATTTTAAATGGAGGTGCTGGAGACTGAACCCAGGACCCCGTGCATTCTAGGCTTGAACACTACCACTGAGCTATACCCTCCCTGCAAGTATACGGTTTTTGATGTCCTATTTTAAATCTGTCTTGTTCTGTGTGTCTCTTGACTACTTGTACGTATAGATGATTTTACTGCTTTTGTCTTTTAACCCTCCTACTAGCTTTATACGTGGTTGATTTGCTACCTTTACCATATATTTGCCTTGACCGATGAGATTATTCCTTTCATAATTTTCATATTTCTAGTTTTTTGGTTTTTTCTTAGCGAAGTCCCTTTAACGTCTCTTGTGAAGCTGGTTTGGTGGTGATGCGCTCTCTTAGCTTTCGCTTGTCTGTAACTCTTCTGATCTCCATCAGACCTGAATGAAAGCCTTGCTGGGTAGAGTGTTCTTGGTTGTAGGTTTTTCCCTTTCATCATTTAAAATATATCATGACATTCGCTTCTGCCCTGTGGATTCTCTGCTGAAAAGTCAGCCGACAGCCTTATGGGAGTTCCCTTGTATGTAACGTGCTGCTTTTCCCTCGCTGCTTTTGATATTCTCTCTCAAATTTTTGCCACTTTAATTACAGTGTGTCTTGCTATGGTCCTCTTTGGGTTGATTCTGTTTTGGGCTCTCTGTTCTTTCTGGACCTGGATGTCCATTTTCTTTCCCAGGTTAGGGAAGTTTTCAGCTATTACATCTTCAAATATGTTCTCTGCCCCTTTCTGTCTGTCCTCTCCTGAGATCTCAATAATGCAAATGTTAGTATGCTTGATGTTGTCCCAGAGGTCTCTTAAACTGTCCTCATTTCTTTTTATTCTTCATTTCTGTTCAGCTTCAATGATTTCCACTACTCTGTCTTCCAGCTTGCTGATCCATTTCTCTGTATCATTCTGTCTACTGTTGACTCCTTCTACAGCATTTTTCATTTCAGTTATTGTATTCTTCATTGCTGTTTTTATTTCTATGTATCTGGTAGCTTGGTTACATTTACTGACACTGGAGAAGCAGACTTTTGTAGGAAACGTCCCAGCAGTGCAGTCTCCTCTGGTCACCAGCGCTGTATGCTCTAGGAGTGCCCCCTACGTGGGCTGTTTGGGTCCTTCTGTTGTGGCAGGCTGACCACTGGTAGACATAGCTGCCCCCGCCCCACAACATCCTTGGTCCAAGTGGTGGCCAAACCCTGCCTTGTGAGCAGGCTTCCAGCCACAAGGGGACAGGGCCAGGTCACAAGGCTGCTGGCTGCAGGGTCTGGATGTCCTGAAGCTGGTGTCAGCCTTCTGATCAGTGAGGCCAGATTCCTGCGTGGATGGCTGAGGGGTCAAAGTTGTCCCAGAGCTGGTGCCACCTGCTAGTGAGTGGACTGGTCTTCACATGGCAGGTGGCAGGGCTGGTGGCCCTGGGGTTGGTGCCCACCCATTAGTGGGTGAGGTAGTACCGGCTCACTGATGGGTCCTGGAGTCTAGCTGCAGGGATATGGGGGTCCTGGAGTTGGTGTTTTGGCTCTCTGATTGGGCCCAGGGGTGTGTTGGGCTGGTACAAACCCACTGGTGGGTGAGGCTAGTCCTGGGGCTTGTGCTGGCCCACTGGTGTGTGGGGCCAGGTCCTAGACCAGGTCAGGTCCCAGGGTGGCTGTGGGCTCAGGGGGTCTTTTGGCAGCAGGCCTGCTGGTAGGCAGGGCTGTGTCTCTGCCCGGCTAGTTGCCTGGCCTGAGTCATCCCAGGACTGGTGCCAACAGGCTGGTGGACCGTGCTGGGTCCCAGTGCTAATAAGCTAAAGGGAGGAGTCCAAGATGGCACTGGCCACCACCAGTGTCCACGTGGCAGGATGAGCTTCCAACAATGGCTGCTGCCAGAGTGTGTGCCTCCAGGGTGAGCTCCCGTTTCCTCCTGCCTCTCCAGGGGGCTCTCCAAGATCAGCACGTGCGTCTGACCCAGGCTCCTTTCAAATATCTGCTTCTGCCCTGGGTTCTGGAGTGTGTGAGGTTTTGTTCTTGCCTCTTAAGACTGGAGTCTCTATTTCCCACCACCCTCTGGGTTTCTCAAAAGAAAGCCCCACTGGCCTTCAAAGCCAAATGTTCTGAGGGCTCGTCTTCCTGGTCCAGGACCTCTGGGCAGGGGAGCTGATGTGGGGCTCCTGGGTGGGGAAACTGCAGTTGTGATCATCCTCTCGTTGTGGGTTGCCCACCTGGGAAGATACTGAGTGTTGACTGCACCACGTCTCCATCCCTCTGACTTGTCTTGTGGTGGTTCCTTCTTCATATCTTTAGCTGTAGATCTCCTCTGCTCATCTTCTGGTTTTTCTCATCAGTAGTTGCCCTGTAAATAGTTGTGATTTTGGCGTGCCCCCACCAGCAGGCGAGCTCAGGGTCTTCCTAGGCTGCCGTCTTGGCCACTTCCTTTCTAGTTCACTCTTGCAGCCCAGCTTCCAGAACAGTGTATGGCTTATGGTAGGTACTCACTGAATATTTATGGAGAGAACAAATGTTCAATTGTAAAGATTTATTCCGGTGGAATGTTTATTAATACAACTTCCAAAGAGCTTACCAAACAGAAGCCGCCTTTTATTGTCTTAGAAGGGCTTTATTTATTCATTTATCCACTCATCAGCTGTAGTAGATTTACCAAATGCCTACGTGTGCCCCAACGTAGGACTTAACGGTGATGAGTAACAAGGTGACCCACGTCCTCAACACCTCCTTGTGAGACTCAATGGTTTTAATTTTCAGGAATTTTGAAGGCCAGTTGTTAAAACAGAGTCATGGCAAAAAATCAAATTCTACCACCTCACAAATAAAATAAATTCTATTGTAAATAAAGTTAAGAAACACTCAGTTCTCATTCCTTCCCAGTTCATTTACAATATTATACTATCACCATACCTTTGAGGTTCTTTTTTCTGCTGTATCGGAATCGTTGAAATACTCCATAATAAGTGCAGCTGCTCATTTCTTCCCAACTTTATGATAACTGAGGTCACGCTGGTAGCTTGACTCTGTTCATGGTGGGAGTATTTATACCACAGACATTGATAAACACTGTAGATCAGGGTGTTTCCCTAGGAGAATCCATTTTTAAACATTACCAGAACACCACTGCTCTCAAAAAAAGAGTGCCATCCATGCATAGAGACCCTTGGGAGGGAGCCTGGTTAGTGGGAGACCAGGAAGGCAGAAAAATGTGGCCACTAGGGGTATCTCCATGGACAACAGGGCTTGAGCCACTTTGCGAAGCTAAGAGGCAAAGCTTTAATCTCTGGAGAAGGGGGACCAGGAAGAGCAGAATAGGGCAGGGAGAACCAAAGTGGCAACCCATTCCTGAGACCTGATACCTGGGGCAAGGAGAGCTCCACCCAGAGCAGCATAGGGGATGCCAGTGGGTGCCTCTGGGCACCAGATCCGAGGACATAGGGTCAGCCAAGGGACCCGGGAAGCCCTGTTGGTCAGCATCAGAGTACATGGGAGAATGTCTCACATTAAGCCGCTCTAAGTACACACATATGTATGTACTTTGTCCATATGTACACATGTACATACATATGTATGTTTACATTTGTATGTGTATTGTGGGAGGAATGGAGTTGAGGCTATGAAGTATTTAAATACTTCTTATATCTTGCCTTAGTCCCTAGAGGAACTGAAGTCCGAGTCTTTGTACGCACGTGGGAGCAAAGATGGTTTGACTCCGCTGTGCAGCATGAGGGTGAAGATGAGTTGATGTAGCTGTGAGCATTTGGGAGAGGCACAAAGCGAGGACCTGAGGTAGGTGGATGAAACCTGGAAACTGGCAACCCATGGATGGAATCCTGTTCATGTGTTTGACTAGCACAGTAAATTCTCTTATGCCGTCACTATCGGGACCTTATCCTACCAGTGACCTGTGTTCTTTGTTTCCAGCTTGGATGGGGCTTTCTCTTCCTCCTTGAGTATTATGTCCTGATAAACGTGCATATTTATCAGTAGACAGTCCACTTTCCTTGATTCATTTCTTCATGATCACAACATGATAAATCACTGTAGGGTAATGACGGCTGATAGATTAGGCTCTGTATTTCTTTAAAAACAAGACTAGCACTAAACAGTTGAGGGCCAGCTGATGGTACTGGTTTTTCTCCACGTTTGGGACTCGAACTGCTGTGAGTTTGAGTCCCAACTGTTCATTTTTACCATGTGACTTCATTGCCTTCGCTACGCCTCGGTTTCCTTGTCCCTAAAATGGTGATACTAGTATGTTACCCATCAAATGACACAGTGCATCTAAAACAAGTACCATAGTGCCTGGCCGACAGAAAGCACTCAAACATTTAAAACCTGTTTTTATGGATTTAATTTTAATGTAATGATTTTACATTGTTGTATGCCACAATCTGTGTGTGTGTGTGTATCAGTAGATATATAATATGACTGGACATAATAGCAGAATAGTTATTGCCAAGCTGACACACTTCGTTGTCTGGTTTCTTTCATGCAAGATAACACCTATGAGATGTGTCCAAATTGTTGCTGAGTCAGGAGTTTTCTCCTTTTTATTGCTAAGTAGTATTCCACTGCATGACGATAGCACAGCTTATTCACCCATGCACAGACATTTGGGTTATAGTCCAGTTTAGGACTATTATGAGTAAATTTGCTATGACCATTCGTGTATAAGTCTTTTTGCAGATATATGTTTTCATTTTTATTCGGTAAATACCTAGAAATGGAATTGTGGAGGTCTTTGCGTAGATTATGTTTAACTTTATAAGAAACCCCCATCCCCATTTCCAAAGGAGGTCAGACCACTTCATGCTCCCACCAGCAATTTATTTGTGTTCTGATAGCTTCCCATTTTTGCGAACCTTTGGTAATGTTATCTTTTTACCTTTATCCATTCCACTGGGTGTGTAGTTATCCCATTGTGGTTTAATTTGCATTTCTCTGGTGACTAACGACATTGAGCATTTTGTCAGATTTTTGTTTTCTGCACTAATTTGGTGTCCTCAACCAAACAGGAATGGCAGTAACTTAAAATCAAACATATCAACAGTGTAAAACACCTTTTACAAACAGTTTGCTTATCAATTTACTTTTACTCCAGCCCAGTTCAAGTGTTATTGTATGTACACCTTTATGATATATGTTAGTTTCTGTCTCTTCCTTGAATTTTTTTTCATTATCTAGCTAGATTTAGTACAGAGTAACTGTTCTCTTGGTAAAGTCCCCCCGATTATTTATATGATAATCATGAAGTGGTACCTTTCAGATAACTTATTGCCTTGTATTTGGAGGCAGACCATTCTTTGGGAGAGCTCAGATCCCTGTGATGTGAACATTCACAGCATCTTTGTGAAGTGGGTAGGAGGCACTGGGAGAAAAACTGAAATTCCAGAAGGTGAAGTGACTTAGCCGAAATCTCAAAGCAAACTGGTGAAATTTAGACTGTAACTTGAATCACAGTCATTAGCTATGTCACCAGACCTGCCACAGCCTTGCAAACCAAGGTACCTCTCCTGATGGGGTCAGACTGATAAAAGTTTCAAATAAAATCGAGTCACTTCATCTGTTGATACCCCCAAATTTCCCCCCAAATCTTTCAGAACTAGAAAGTTATCATGAACCGTGCCATGTAGAGTCCCCACGGATTTGTGAACCGCTAGTTATAAAGGAAAACAGAGTCATTCTGCCCCACGGATAAAGATGTGTGGGAATGCAGTAATGCGGGAGAAAAAAAACAGTTTCAAAGAACAATACACAAACATCTCCTGTCCTCTCATACACACATAAATATTTTCAAATAAGAAGACTCTGTGTTTGGTAAAAAACAACAAAGGAAAGGATAGAACCTCTGGCGATAAAGAAATAAAACACGCCAGTGTTCCAGGTTGGTTTTTCCGGTATCTGAACATATTGCATATTTAAAGAGTCACTCTGAAGGAATATGTCTGCTGTTTAACAAATATGCCAGAATTCACACAACCAAATATGGTGCTTTTTCCCTCAAAGTAGGCATCTTGGGATGTTTATACACTTATTTCAATGTCACTTTGTCACTGATAAAAACAGTTTTGGAATTGCTACTTTGGAATTGCCTTCAGAGCCTCAGGAGCAGTCTTTTGAATATCTGCAGGATTCTGTGGCTCCTTAAGAAAGTCCGCTTCAAATACTCTCTCACCACTTGACTGCTTTAAGTCTCAAGCTCCTTATTGTGGAATTGGAGTGAGGATGTAGAGGAAGCAGAGACCCAGAATGAGGGTCTATGTCCTCACCCAATTCTGATCCTTCTAAATTTTTGAATTTATTGCTTAATCTCCCATTTTGCATCTCACTTTGTAATTCAGACATGACAGTGAGCTCACAATCTTTTAGTTTTGTTTTGTTTTGTTTTTGTTTCTGGTTTTTTTGGGGGGGGTGATTAGGTTTATTTATTTATGTTTAGAGGGAATACTGGGGATTGAACCCAGGACCTCGTGCGTGCTAAGTGTGTGCAATGAGCTCATAATCTTAGCTGTAACCTCCTCTGTTCCTGACCATGATCTTGACGTGTCTTCTGCCAAAGTTGCTACAGAGAGA